TCATGCCCCAGTCTGCACCTACATCCAGGGTCACCCCATCCCAGGTGCAGAATCCTGCTGTCACACACAGGACAGAGTAAATGCCCCATACTGGATTTGGATACTGGGAATTGGTGAATAACCACCAGGACCAGACCTTTCACCTTCCTTAGCTGCAATCTGCTCCTGCCCCAGCACTATCTTCCATGGGTCTCTGCTTCCCAGCAGGGAGCTCACTCCTGCTCAGGAAGGTGAGGCATGAGGATGTGCTGGTTCCCACTGTGCTGCTTCTCACAGCTGCCTGTTCAGTCACCACTGGCCAAGGTCCCATCTCTGATCTGCAGGATATATTCCCTCCCACCAATCCACACACATCCTGCTGTCAATTCACACTGTGAATCAAGCTGGTTCTGCCTGTGGCAGGAACTTACAGCAAGAGGGTGTCCTGAGGCACCACAGATTCTTGCAAATGCAAACACCACCATCCCTGTGCCCTCACCCTGCTTCCCTTTCATGCACAATTAATTATATGGACCAGTAACAAGTTTGTATGAGCAGTCCTTTAACAACATTAATTATTCTGCTACAGCAGAAATGCAAAACATTGTCCCTGAACAGCCCTCTGCCACCTGCCCTGTCCCCCGAGAAAACCAAAACCTTAAACCAGGGTGCCCTGAGGGCAGAGTGAAGTAGGCACTGTGGTTCTGGACCTGCCAAGGGACAGGTGGGATGGGACAGAAATGTGCTGGGCCCAGAATGAGATGCTTCTGCAGTGAACAGCTCTGACAGGATGGACACATCATAGGTGCAGCAGCTCTTGCTCTTTTCTCAAGCTTTCACAGCCAGCAGAGGTGAAGACGGGGCTCCTGAGAAACACCTGGGACTGTGGAAGCTGCTGGAGATGTCAGGTCAAGAGCATCTGATGAGGCAGCACACGGGACCAGGCCTGAGTCAATGCTCTGAGCTGAAGCAGCAAGGAAAAGATTTAGGGACTTGGTGACCAGATTTGGAAAGAAGAGACATGAAAATAAAATGGCAATGACAGGTATGTGACAGTATACGGATGAGAAAGGCACGGGGAGGTCTGGATGAATATTAATGCACATCTCAGGGGTGAAAATTGTATTCCTACTGCCTGTAAGGCATTTGATTGTAATGTGTGCATAAGCCATACATCTGCTGTGTTAGGCTGAGGCTAGAGGAGAGCTGCTGCTGCCACCTCAGCTGCTGCAGGGCTCTCAAGGCACATTCAAACAGAACTTTCAGGAGACATATACAGCTTGTGCAGGAGAGAAGGATGCAATGGTGCATAAATCAGAGATCATTCCAAAGAAGAGGTGAGGCTACTCTCATTTGAGAACTGGCCACTGGTTTGTAGGAGTATCTTCAGGGAGAGGAGTCTGAAATAGAAATATGTGCCTTATAAAATGGAAGAAAAGGGCCAGAAGTTCCATAACGAGAGGAAAAACTGAGTATTTTGTATTTCCATAAAATGTAGGCCAGGGCATGGGCAGGAGTAGGCAGTAGAAGGTCTTAGTATCATCAACTAAGTTCTGGTGGCTCCAGTTTCTCACAAAATACCATTTTGACAACTTGCCTTCCTTTTTTAAACCTTGTCTCTCACAGATTCCAGTTCTGAAGATATCAGTTCTGAGCATGAGGGCAGCTATTCAACCCAGCTGGTGAAGGGTTACTGTGCTGAATGCCTGTTTCTAACTTAAGACTCGAGTCTCAGTTCCTGTGGCCTCCATTTTGAAAGGCTCAGTCTAACACATCCTAAATTAACTCACCAGGCAGCAGAGTATGAAATCGGACATGACCGATCGATCCTCGAGCATTGATCCAAAGCTAAACTAATGGAATGTAAAGAAAATGTAAGACTCTATTGTACTGTAAAGGCTGCCTGTTTAGCCATTTTACAAAATAAAACTCCATTTGGGAGCTGGATGGAAGTGTAAAGTTCAAAGAACTGACTAAAACAAGGCATAGGGACTTCACAAACTGCTGCTGTACAGATTAAGCCTTGGGGGAATGGCTTTATTAGATGCCACTGACTACAATAATTGCATGATAATTTTGGCTAGAGGCACCATCCTATCATCCATCCTATCATCTGATGATTTTTAAACTGTGCATGAATAGTTTAGACAGAGTGATCTTGGCACCCAGCTGCACAGAACTGAGAAGCCTGTTCCATGTACCACGTCTATGCTTGGGCTCTTGGGGAAAAGGAAGAAAAGGAAAAAAAAGATGTCCTAGGACTCCCTAAGAGACATCTCTGAGAAATAACAACAAGCAGTTCTGCATGCTCCTTCTGCAATGCTCTAAGAGATTAACCAGGGGCATTCTCCTAAGGTAAGTGGCAGAAAAATAATTCTTTCTAGGGCTGTATGGAGCAGGCAGGTGCCTGTCAGTCTTGAAGTAATGCAAATTAAAACCATGAGTATTTGCATCTTAACATTTAACTTCTGACAAGAAATTAAAAGTTTAATGCTGCTATTTCATACCTCAACTGATGCAAACATGGTATGAATGTCACATAGAAGTGATTAGAATAGTAGCAAATTACAAGATGATTTTTAAAGTAGCGAAATCAAAAAATAAAGGAACTTCCTCCAAGAGAAATTATGGATTTCCATCTGGTTCTAACTGATTACATAATGAATTTTTATTGTTTGAAATAACCATACAAAAATACTTGGGCAGACACAAAGCTAGATGGTATAATGAGAAATGTCTCAGGTATGTACTTTCTATACTGAAAATGATATATTTCTATTCTACAGTGCTAGTGGTATAGAAGAGGCTGTACTACTAGAATTTCTAGTCTACTAGTAAACTGGAAGTAATGATATAATTGATATTTAAGATTGCTGTCTTACAGTAAACTGAAATTACTCTGTTAGAACTCAATTAAGACCAGGGAAGGGGACAGAAATGGAAAAATTAGAAGCGTGTTGCTATGACAAGGTTGTGAAGTAGTTTGTGCTGATTTCTTAGAAATGTTGGCTTTTGTGGCTCTAAACTAACTTCTTTATTTTATACTCAGTATTCACTGTGTCATTATTTTTTCTGAAAGTTCTATCAGTGTCCTAGTATCAAGGGCTCATTTAAAGAGTGAATTTATACCATTCCTACCATTTAATTTCTTCTGTTGGCTTTTATAATGCAAAGGTAAGGATAGTTATTTAAACGATGGTGGAAACAACTCAAGAAACAAAACTCTGTCGAGCCAGAGTGATATGTTTAGACAGCTTCCTTGCCCTGAATAGTTACATCCACTTTCTGTTCCAGACATAAACTTTCTGTTCCAGTTTCTGCTGCTAGAGAATTCCATCTTTGGGATTAAAACATATTTATCCCTGAATTTACGTTGTAGCATCACACATAGGGTTTTGTTGTTTGGCTGGGGTTTTTTGCTGAGTCAATCAATTTCAGTGAGGGATCAGCCCCTTGCAAGGCAGTGAATATGCCTGAAGCTCCTTTGCTTAACTGCTGCATTGGACTACAATAATTATTGCTGACTTTCTGTTTTCCTCCTGTTCTCATTGCAATGATATGCGTGGGAGGAAAGGAATGGGGAAACAAGATATTCTGGGTGCATAACAGCACCTAAGAGATTGCTTGACTAGATGTGTTTACTCAGCCAGTTCTATGTGTGAAAATTCAAATTTGCAGACCAAAAACAGTCCCAGAAACATAATAATAAAGTCTGTAGGATGCCTATGCTGAGAATGACTTCATTGCCAGTTACAACTGAATTTTTTTACTTGTGGTGTGGATAAATATAGCCTTGAAGCAAAACTGAACTTCCTGGGATCATGTCATGAACCAAGCCGTATTAATAATGGTGATATCACCCAGCTATGCTATCATTTAAATATATACAAGATTTTGGGTGCATCAACCAGCCAGATCTTTGAAAAACATCTTAGAAATTGTACTTTACTAAAGATTGTGGTTTAGTGGAATTTGGGATGTTTTGAAAGTATTGTAGCATAAAAGAAATTCAAGTGTGAACCCCAAGGTAGATATGATCCCAGTTGCTTCAATAATTTATTGTCATATTAGCAGAAAAAGGTCCAGGGGCACAACATCAAACATGCAGGTGATTCACAAATAAACAGTCAAATATCTTGCATTTCAATTCCCCACATTATCTGAAGCTCCAAAAGAAAAAAGCTTCAAAAGAAGCAGCTTGTAGATCAAGTAGAACATAGACCAATTTGCTTATGAATCAGTTTCTGGGATAGAGACAGTTAAAAAGATTTTCACACATGCACTGTTAAAAACCTCCGCATCACTCTGATTCAATTATCTCATATGTTACAATTTATAATTAAGATGCAGCAAAACTTGATGCATAAAAATAAAGGTATTAACCCTAGGAGCACTCAGTTTATTGTTATTATCCTAGAACTGAGACTGCAAATGTACAGCTATGTGTAAATCAGCTATGTATTTGTAGTTTCAGAGAGAAACTTGTGAATTGTTACCTGGGTAGATGGGAAAGTGTTGGATGGGTGACACTAAAATTGCTACTACCTTAGGCTAAAAAAAGAAACTGTTTTTAAGTCACAGTTATAGGACACTTCTCAAAACTTTATCAAAAAAATTAAAACCAAGAACATAATTTATTGTGGCAAAACTATGACAAATCCATAGTCAATATGGAGTGGAGTGGGTGTGGAATTAAGCTGTAGTTGGCAAATAATTTTCCAATAATAATTGGAAAAAAGTCATCTTCACTTGTAGTGGGAAGAAAAGTATATAAAGCTATGGGCAGTTATGGAGTACTGTGGTTTATAACTGAAATAATATCTCTTAAACTTAAAATAATCTCACATGTACATCTTTGACCAGTAACCATGAAGTTTGAATTAATCTAAAGGCTCAGTAAGCAGAAAGTAATGACGAACATCTAAGAGCTCTCCAGCTACCAGAAGAATGTATGTGAAACACAAATATTGAAATTAACAAAAATACCCAAAAACAAACAACAAAAACTAAAAATGGCCATTTCCAAAAGAAATCCACCACTGCATGAGAATAACTTTTTTTCCCCCCCAGATATGAACTTCTGGCCATGGGGGACTGGAACTTGTTGGGCAGCATCCTTGAAGAAGTGCACATCCACTCCACCATAGTTGGCAAAATCTGGCTCACAATCCTGTTCATATTCCGGATGCTGGTGCTGGGAGTGGCTGCTGAAGATGTCTGGGATGATGAGCAGTCCGAGTTCATCTGCAACACGGAGCAACCTGGCTGCAACAATATCTGCTACGACAAAGCCTTCCCCATCTCTTTGATCAGATACTGGGTATTGCAGATCATATTTGTCTCCTCCCCTTCCTTAGTGTACATGGGCCACGCACTCTACAGGTTAAGGGCCCTGGAGAAAGAGCGGCAGAACAGGAAAGCCCACCTGCGGGCTCAGCTCGAGGACCTGGAGCCCATGCTCGAGGAACACAGGAGGGTGGAGAGAGAACTGCGTAAGCTGGAGGAACAGAAGAAAGTGAATAAGGCACCCTTGAGAGGGTCCCTGCTGCGCACCTATGTCCTACATATCCTGACCCGGTCGGTGGTCGAGGTGGGCTTTATGATAGGTCAGTATCTTTTATACGGGTTTCACATGTCTCCCCTTTACAAATGCACTCGGCCCCCCTGCCCTAACACGGTGGATTGTTTTGTGTCCCGACCCACAGAGAAAACCATTTTTATGGTTTTCATGAACAGCATCGCCGCCGTCTCCCTCTTCCTCAACATCCTCGAAATCGCCCACCTGGGCATCAAGAAGATCCGGAAGAGCCTGTGCGGGCAGCCGCTGTGGCCGGCGGGCCCTTCCGAGGAGGATCCCAGCGCGTACAACTCCAAGAAGAG